TTAAGTATGTTAATGGGACTTTGGGTTATGGGATTTGGTTCTCGACCGACACTACAGCTAAAATCACTAATTTTTCTGATACTGACTGGGCAGGATGTGCTGATAATCGTAAGAGCACATCTGGGGGTGTTTTTACCTTGGGAATAATTTGGTTGCCTAGCATAGCAAAAAGCAAAATGCCATTTCTTTTTCGACCGATAAGGCTGAGTACATTGCTGCAGGGAGTTGTTGTGCCCAAGTGTTGTGGATGAAGCAAATGTTTTATGATTATGGTATAGACCAGAACACTCTCACCTCTTTTTTGTGATAACACAAGTGCCATTAACATTTCTAAAAATCCTCTCCAACATTTCAAATGGATGTGAAAAGTGCTTTTTTGAATGGGTACTTGAAAGAAAAGGCTTATGTTCAGCAACCAAAAGGCTTTGAGGACCCTAAATGTCTAAACTATGTCTACAAGTTAGACAATGCTTTGTATGGGTTTAAACAAGCCCCTTAGGCTTAGTATGATAAACAAGCCCCTTAGCCTGTCCTAAGGAGTCTCATCTTCTTGCAGTCAAACGCATCATTAAGTATATTAATGGGACTTTGGGTTATGGGATTTGGTTCTCGACCGACACTACAGCTAAAATCACTAATTTTTCTGATGCTGACTGGGCAGGATGTGCTGATAATCGTAAGAGCACATCTGGGGGTGTTTTTACATTGGGAATAATTTGGTTGCCTGGCATAGCAAAAAGCAAAATGCCATTTCTTTTTCGATCGATAAGGCTGAGTACATTGCTGCAGGGAGTTGTTGTGCCCAAGTGTTGTGGATGAAGCAAATGTTTTATGATTATGGTATAGACCAGAACACTCTCACCCCTTTTTTGTGATAACACAAGTGCCATTAACATTTCTAAAAATCCTCTCCAACAATCTCGCACCAAACATATTGACATTCGTCATAATTTCATTCCAGAGTTAGTGGAAGAGGGCCCTGTTGTTCTTGAACATGTACCCACTGAGTATAAAAAAACAGATATTTTTACAAAACCCCTTGATCTTCTTAGGTTTGAGTTCCTTAGAAAGACCTTAGGTGTAGTTCTCAGTCACTAGGGTGTTGTTACCTGTTACTTGAGTAGGTGTGAGTGATTGGCTTTATGTGTGCTTGGATGCTATAATCTCATTGTCATTGATTCCTGTCATCTCTGCATTTTGATTCATATGAACACTTCTTATGCTGCTTGCAAGATTTCATTTTTTCTTGTTCATAGCTCATTCTGAATGCCCATGCTCATTGACTTCATGATCTCATTATGTACACATCCTTGAGCTAAACTGTTGCAGGGGTTTCTGCACAAGTGATCAAAGTTCTCTATGGGCCGCTAACAGTGTTTCTTATACATTTTCAGAGGAATTGACCTATACTGGCATATCATGGGTGATATTGAGTCTCTTAACCATCTATCATCATTTTTCACTTTCACGGTTCCTCTCTCAATTCATTGAAGTCCAGGCATTAGGAAAATGCTACCTCAAAGGCACCAACCAGGCCATCCTTACTGAGTTTATGTTTCTCTAATTTGGTCTCCATACTCTTGAGCGTGCATGCCACCAATGAGTGCCCATAAGAAAGAAAAGTCAAAAAAAAAAAAAAAACAACTCTTTGATTGAGGGGGAGCCTCCGCGTTTACTCAACAAATACCTCTTGATTTCTAGTGGTTTGACTTTTCTTTGTGATGTTTAGTTACTCTTGCCGGATGTCCAGCCATCCAATCACTACGAGGATTAACTCTAGTTTTGTGGCCTCTCAAGGATTACACACACACACACATTCATTTTGTGAGCTCTCATGACTGCATTTGAGTTGTGTATTCTCATGTAGCTTACGATCAGTAATTAATTTTTATTTGATTTGCTCATGATTTTTTGCTTCATAATGTCAGCTTTGCAAGTTTGCGGGTTTCATGGTTTGTGGATTATTCCATTTTAGTGTCACATTCTTGCTATTCTACTGGATATTTGTTATTTGTCTTTAGTCACTCATGTTTTTCTGGTTACTAATTATGTTTGTTTCTTTTTGTGACTAGTGGTTGTGGTTGTAATGGGATTGTCCTTTGGTTTGGCCATATCCTCCATCAAACGTCGGAAGTCCACTGTCACTCTTCCCCTCTTATAACACCGACCAGTTTCCCTCGGTAGAAAAAGCCAAGTTCTTTAGAGAGTCTTACCCCTTTAGGACAGTTCATTTAGAGCGTAATGTACAGCCAAACACCTTTGAGTCCATCCACATTCGCCCTTTATTTGATCCTTTGGGAGGAGATTTGATCCTTTCTTTCTCTGGCCATCAAAATCTTGACTGGGTGCGGGAATTTTATTGTAATATTAAGGGGATTGACGATGTTGGCCCTACTTTCAAGACCTGGGTTGGGTCTAAGTCTATCACCATCACACCTGACCTTATTCATGAGCTATTGGGTATTGGTCAACTCTTTCCTTATTACTATCTTTTCCCTGTTCGACCCACCTGTGATTTCAACGAGGTTGCCACTGCTTTTTGTGGTACGCCTCGTTCTTGGATCTAGGGCACTTTGATCAAACAGAATAAGTTTCTTCCCCAGTTTCGTTTACTCAACCTTATTGTTTGTGCTAACATCATAATCACCAATCATAGCTTCGAAATAAATCAAGAACAAGGTTTTGTCCTTTTTTTGTATTGCTCACCACCGTTCTATTGACCTTGCCATCTTGATTATTCAAAAAATGGTCGCTGCTTTTGAGCTAAATAACTTAGGTCTTCCTTACGGTTGCCTCATTAACCGGTTTCTCAGCAAATTTAAGGTTCTTTCTTTTGATGAGGATGACTTTGCTTTTTCTACCCGCCCATTCACCAAAAAGATTGTCTCTTAAAGTCAGTCTCATGTCAAGGGGGTCTCTTCTGGAGTGGGTAGTTCTGGTGCAGGTGCAGGGGATACTCCTTTGGCCGAGGAGGTCGAGTATGATGCTGTTGCTGCAGGCGAGGTTGCTGGTGAGGGGAAACAGCTTCCTTCTGCTCGTTCTATTAGAGGCTAGCTGCGTCAATTCAAGCAGTCCATGGTTTCACATTTTGATCGCTTAAAGGGCCGGATGGATATCTTTGAGGCTCGACTTACTGATCTTAAGACTACCACCGATGCCTGGCTCACTGTATTGGAGGCCTCTTCTAGTCGCATTGAGGAGTTAGTTGTTCAATCCTCCTTTCATCTTTCCCAGATCTTGTCCCTCCTTCAAATGCAGCCACCTCCACAGCCACCAGCTCAGTGATGCTTGTTTTTCTTGGCTTGTATATTTATTTGCACAGTTTTTTTTCTTCTTATTTTTCTGGTTCTTTATTGTGTTTTCCTCTCGAACAAAACGAGGGAGTAGATTTGGAAATATATATTTTTTTGGCATATCTTTTGGGCTTTGTAGTTATTTGGGATTTGCAGGCTTTGTTGGGTTTTGGGTATGGATAAGTTTTGATGCATGGATATTGGGATATGTTTGCAATAGATGCATGGATATCGAGATATGTTTGCAATAGATGCATGGATATTGGGATATGTTTGCAATAGATGACGTTAGATATATGTTTGGATATTGTGCTTATTTTGATCTATTTGTCTTATCTAGTTCCACAATTTTGATTTGTATGGTTGTTTCCACAGGTGGATTGTTTACAATGTTCCTAAGTGTTTCATATTCGAATTCGGCTCTTGTGGTTTTGCAGTGTTTTTGTTGTTTTTTATTTTTGAGGCTTTTGATTGTGTTAGCTAGTGTGTTTAGTGGGTTTGTTTAATATGAAAAATTGTTAGAAAAGTTTTGTCTGGGAATTGACAAAGGGGGAGATTGTTAGGACCCTACTTATTGTCAATTCCGTGAACAAACTTGGGATTCATTGAGTTGTAATTTTCTTATGATTTTGGTCTTCCCCTCGAGCAGGAAAGGTGGCGCTCAAGCGGAGTTTCTACCATCGGAATACTTTGGTTTGTCTGCAAAAAATACTACGTGGTGTGATTTTACGCTCGAGCGTAAGTTCTTACGCTCGAGCGTGAATCTTGGTTTGGAACGCGCGTTTTGGCGTTCCCACTCGAGCGTCCATTCCTACGCTTGAGCTGATTTTGCAATTTCCGCAGATATAAAACTACAGGTTGCTCCAAATCTAGGGTATGTTTTTGAGATCTTCTTTAAGGGTTTTAGGATTTTCTTTTGGGGCTGTTTTGCTAGTTTTTCTTGATGTTTGATTAAGTATTAAACTTATGTTTTGATAAGCATACATCAAGGAGTTTGATTGTTCATCTTTAAGAGTGTTCTTCTTCGGTGAAATTCGAAGATTCAAGCGCAGAGGAGTCGAAGGAGTTTGATGTTGTGCGCAGTCGTTGATTCAACAATGGATGTTGTGGATTCAACATCAATCTGATCAATTCCGAGACAAAGGTTGCGGTGAAAGATATACAAATAGTGGAAGACAAATTGACAACGTTTGGGTAATTTGTTTGGTATATTTGTATTCTTTCTTTCTTCAGTAGTGGATTAATTTGTGGCGTTTCACCCGTAGTTTTTTAATCACAATTGAAGGTGCTCTAAAAGTGATTTTTTCCACGTAAAAATCGTTTATGTTCATTTATTATTTCTAAAACAACAATCTAAATCACTTTCGTATGTGTTTGATGATTTAGATTGTTAGTTTTTATTGGTTGGGAATTGATACAATTAAATCTTGATTTAATCACGAATCACTTAGGTTCTTCAATTACCATTATTTGAGTCACAAAATTCAAAATGAGGTGATACAAATGTTGACCAGGAAAGCCAAAAGTGCAATTTTGTTGATAATCAAACTGGCAAAATACTTTTCGGTCATACTTGATTGTACTCCGGATATAAGCCATCAAGAACAAATGTCTCTTGTTGTACGATGCGTGGATGTTTCGACAAGTCCAATTAAAGTGAAAGAGTTTTTTTTTTTGGAATTCTTGAATGTGGATGATACATCGAGGATGGGACTTTTTGATAAACTTCAAGAAGCATTAGTTAACCTTCAACTTGATATTGGTGACTTAAAAGGGCAAGGATATGACAATGGCTCTAACATGAAAGGCAAAAACAAAGGTGTTCAAGCAAGAGTATTTCAAGTAAATCCTAGAGCATTCTATATGCCGTGTGGTTGTCATAGTCTTAACCTTGTGCTTTGTGATATGACCAACTCTTGCTCTAAAGCAAAAACTTTTTTTGGTGTGGTACAACGCATATATGTATTGTTTTCATCTTCTATTTAACATTGGGCAATTTTAAAAGATAATCTAAAGGAAGGCCTCATGGCTAAGTCGTTGTCGCAAACACATTGGAAAAGTCGTATTAAAAGTGTTAAACCACTAAGATACCATGCTTCAAAAATAAGAGATGCTTTAGTTGACTTGTACAACAATCCTACCACAGATTCGATTGCAAAAAGTGAAGCTAAATCCCTGGTAACTCATGAACTTGAGACTTTTGAGTTCTTGTTTAGTATTGTAATTTGGTACAATTTGTTGTTTCATGTGAACTCTGCTAGCAAGCTTTTTCAAAGTGGAGATATGGATATAACAGTTGTTGTAAAGCAGCTAGATGGGCTTGTTAAGTATGTTGCAATGTATAGAGAAGTTGGTTTCATGGAGGCTATGGTTGAAACTAAAGAAATGGCAAGTGAATTGGGAATTGAACCTACATTTGTTGAAAAGCGCATCATTTCTAGAAAGAAACAATTTGATGAGAATGTTAGCAGAGAGGTGACCCAGTCGGCTGAAGAATCGTTTAGAGTTGATTACTTCTTTTATATTGTTGATCAAGCCCTTTGTTCACTCAAAAATAGGTTCGAACAATTCAAAGTGTATGAGACAAGCTTTGGCTTTTTGTTTGACTTGAAAAGGTGCAGCGATGAGTCGTTGAAGGCAAAGTGTGTGAACCTTGAAGAATTTTTAAAACATGGTAAGATTTTCGATATTGATGGAAGAGATTTATTAATGGAGCTAAAAGTCTTGAAAGAGAGATTGTCAAAAAAAGTCAATAAACCAATTGAAGTGCTCAATCATCTACAATTGATGACAAATTGTTTCCCAAATTCATGGGTTGCTTATAGGATATTTTTGGCTATTCCGGTTACAGTTGCATAGGGGGAAAGAAGCTTTTCAAAGTTTAAAATTATCAAAAATTACTTTTGATCAACTATGTCACAAGAAAGATTGAATGAATTAGCATGGTTATCCATTGAAAATGATTTTGCAAAAAAAAATAGATTATGCAAGTATGATTGATTTATTTGCTTCTAAAAATGCAAGTAGAGCGAGGAGCAAGTGATACTTATTAGTTGTTATAATGTAATGCTAAGTATTTTTTTACAAATCTTTTGTCCTTTACCTTCAAAAAAAAATTTCATTCAATAAAAAAAAATGTGAAGGGTCCCAGAAATTTAGTAGTTGATTATCAAATTTGAGCCGGAACGGCGATAATGAGAGGAGGATGAGATTAAAGGGGGGATGATAAGAGGAGGTGGTAGTGACGATTTGGGAAGAGTGGCCAGAAGGGTTGGCCGAAGTTGGTTGTGTATGACAAGTAGAATTGTGGTTGGGCAAAGCTACCCAATTACAGGTTTTTGAATACAAAATGTTTATGTACACAGGAGGAATGGGCCCACCGATCTTGGACTTGCGATAAATTCGGGCCCACTAATCTTGGGCTATTGGGCCTAAATAATTTAGTGGGCTTAAATTAGCTCCTCTTACATATCTTATATCTGTATATTTCGTATCTAATACTTTTTATAAATGTAACACAACTGTTTTGAATAAGCTTATAAAGGAGCTATTATAAATCAAATGTGCTGCAAATGATTAAGCACAGATTTGCTGCCGTTACCAAGTTTCGCTGCCAATTTATTTATTTATTTATTTTTTTACTAGATTACTTGCAAAGCATAAATTTGTTGCAGTTTGGAAATCACCTTATCTAATTTTTAGACATGTATAACACTACTTTTATAATTATTAATTTGTGTGCATGCAAAACGTGTTATCTTGAATGGTTCGGTTGCAACTGGGCCCAAAGGAAAACTGACTAGAGAACATTGTATAAATGTGGGCTCTTCAATGGTATCCTGCAAATCTTGTTAGCTTGAATTTGAAGAATCATAATAAATAAATATATATAATAAATAAATAAAAAAGTAAGTTGAGTGAATTCTTTGGTCTATGATTGAATCTTGTATTTATGGAGAGAACAAAAATAAAGTAGAAAACTATTCTTTTCTTTATTTTTTTTCCCATAAATTTAAGAAAAATATTAGACACCCAAATGTTTTACCAAATGTTTTAGCAAATATTTTACATGGGTATGGGACCCTAGAGCTTTGCACTGTGTTTGGTTGGGAGATTTGAAGCTGAATTTGGATAGGAAAAGGGAAAGGTAAAGGTCTGTGAAACTAGGTAAAATTTAAACATATTTTATTTATATTTCACCTACATTTTCTATTTTCCTTTCTAAATTCCTTCTCAAATTCCCAACCAAACACAGCATTAATGTGAACTTTGTGAGACATATCTATACCCTATACTTCCAAGTTGTATTATAGGAGGAAAAGTTGCATGTATATGAACAGGCAAGCATCAGCAACCCACCAAAAAATAAATAAATCAATACATTCAAGAATCCTACCTGCAGGTCCAAACTGCATTATTGTATTTGCAAAACCAATACAGATAGATAGATATATACACTTAGATATTAAAAAAAAATTAAAAATAAAATACATATAAGGTGCCAACATCTCCGGACCAAACTTTTGTTCCACGACGAGAAGCCCATTTATAACAGACAGAATATTCAATGACACTTGCCACATTTCTCATTTATTACAATCCAGATTACAACAGATATAAATTAATTAATCAATCGATTAATTAACTAGATATCAAACAAGCATGGATCATTATTCAAGCATGGAAACAGGAAACGAGTAGTTTCCCTCAAGCAGAAAATCAGACATTTGCAATTTCGCAGCATATTTATTGTCCAGGCAGACACAAGTTCCACGGCCAGGGACTCTACTCTGCATTGTTCACAAATTAAGCACTGAGATAGCCTTCTTCCTCCAAGTAAGACATCACTGTTTCAGCCATGTCTCTCGGGGAAGAACAGACACCTCCTTTCGGTTGTAATACTATCTGCAGATGGTGAATTCAAACATAAACCAATAAACAAGGAAGACGTAAAAAAAGAAGAGGAGCATATTCTCTATCAGGAATGCTAGAATTACTTGTTTCTCCAGATAATTTCCTGGTTGCCAATTGAAACCAGAAACTTACCCCTTAACTTCTTCATTTCAGTTATTCATTTGGTGGCTCCCAAACAGGAATACCTTCTCATTACATATTGGCTCGCTAAAATAGAATATGCTTGATACATATTTTAAACTAGCAGTGGGTGCAAATTCACTGCATTTGTAATTTTACATTTGAATTTTGTGATAATTTCATGGGTGAGGGGCGGCCTGATGAATTAAGAAAACCGTTTAGCAAGTTTAGTTAGTCTAAGTGATGGACACAGTTCACACCAAATGGGATGTACAAAATAGATTAGTGTATCCTCAACTTATCAAATCTATTATGTGCGTCAATGTTTGAAAGAGCACATGCAAGTAAAAACATATCCTCTTTTCGCTAAAGGGCATATATATACCTCAGCATTGAATGGTGGCTCATACGGATCATCAATCCCCGTAAAACCTGCAAGGTACAACAACAAGGAAACAATTAAACTGAGGACTAATGACCTCAAAGGCAGATGAAAAGAAGAAAATAGTAGTATATGATGAATTTATCAACTACTAAATTAAGTGTGGAAGAAAGAGAAAAGAGGATATTGAAGAGAAATTGGTACAAAAAAGAGTTTTCCAACTATCTGGATAAGAAATTGATTTGAAGAGACATTGAACAGCCCCTAAGCTCTTTTAAATGACATGCTTTTAATTAATATCATGCTCATCAACATTAGATTTAGAACAATGACATACCAGATCAAATAAAGAAAAGACGAAATGGAAACAAGTATCATTTAGATACCAGAATTTCATTCTTCTGTGAGACTGCAAGAAGATACCTTTAATTTTTCCAGCTCGAGCAAGCTTGTACAGGCCCTTAGGGTCCCTTGCTTCACAAACTGGGAGAGGCATATCCATAAACACCTGTGAATAATAATATACTTGGTCAATTACAGGCAATGAAGAAGCTTTAATTCATGCCCATTTTTTTTGTCTACCACTGATTACCAACACTAAAAACTTTATGCAACCAAATGCTCCAATCCTCACAGAGCACAAACCTCAATGAATTCTCCATCTGGCAATAGTGCACGGCAGGCATCTCGATCCCTTCTATAGGGAGATATTAAACTAGCAATGCAAATAACTCCAGCATCAGCAAAGAGCTTCGCGACCTCCCCTAAGAACCATAAATTTATTAAAACCGAACAATTTTGGACAAGAATAAGAGGACTAATTTTGGCAATGAAGTGTAAAAGAAACCCACCAGTTCTTCGTATGTTTTCTGCACGATCCTCTGCTTTGAAACTAAGATCACGGTTTAGACCATGACGAACATTGTCACCATCAAGGATGTAGGTGAGCTTTCCTCTGGAGTGTAAGCATCGGCTTAAAGCACACGCCAAAGTGCTCTTTCCTAAAATAAAAAGGTTTAAATTTATTTATTTTTTAAATGAAAAAGTGGGATACTGGGTCATGACATTGACTTGAAAATAGAGAGTAATGGAAGGAAAATGCAAGATGCAAGGGTAAGATATACTATTAACAAACTGGTGTCAAAGAAAGTAAAGAACTATTGCTAGAACTCACATAAGCTTCATAAAATATTCCTTACAGCTGTTATCAGAATTTTTTGTAGTATTGTATTTTCTGTAGTATAAATAAAAAATTGAGGTACTGGGACGGTCTGATTGATCTTGGAGTTGACAAATATAAGAGCCCTTTTAGAATAACCATAGTGTCCATCTAAATAAAGTGACAAAATTTTTGTAACCGTAGTGTCCATCTATAAATATCGATGTCTGTACATCAGTGACAAAAATCATCACAACCGAAGGATGTTAACTTAAATATCAAAGTCATTCATTGGAGTTTTACGCTACAAGTTAAATTTAAATCTAAACAGAAAAATTTGCAGAAAAAGCATCAAAAGTTGTATAGCAGAGATGGTCCTAATGACCAAGGAATGATTACATCGAGTAGCTAATCCTGATTAGAAGTAACTTAGGTACACAAACCTGAACCACTGAGACCTGTGATCCAAATGACAGAACCCTTTTGCTGAAGTAACTCCTGCCTGTCAATTTTCTCAACCGAGCACTTATGCCAAACAATGTTTGTCGAATTTCCAATCGTAGACATCTGGCGGATACTTTTACCTAGTTGGATAATCAGTTAATAAAATTAGAAACTTAATGAATTTGAGTAACAACTAACAACAACTATATGTCGAATCTATAATTAATTTGCAACCACATTTCGGAGTCAGTTTTTGCAGAGCATAAGCAATGACAAATTAGTAATCATCTGCAAGAGTTCAGAGTATGCAATGCAACAAAACAGAAATAAAAATAATAATAATAATAATAACAATTAAAGGTAAATTACATTGATCACCCTGAGGTTTAGAAAAAAATACAATAAACTCCATGAGTGTGATATTTACACCAACCACTCTTTTAAAAAACTGCACTGATCGGAATTAATGCAAATGTTGGGTAGACATAAGGCTAAACAAGGTCATGCTTTTTTTTTTTACTCATATGACTAACAAATTTACGATAAATGAGAGCTGTGAATTAAAATTATAAGGGAGTTTAATGTAATAATGTTAAACTTGTGAAACTATATGTATTTTCTCTAAATTATGAGGGAGGTTATTGTGATTTACCGAAAAATTAAACATAACAAAGTAATTAGCAGGACAAAATTTTCACAGTTTGCAATAGAGAAATAAGGAAAAAATAGGAATTAGAATAAACCATCATAATCATTGATCAATGAGCTATCGTGCAATTCTGGAACGAAATCGGCTTTGTTATTGACGTACGACGTTTTAGAATTCTTCATTGCCTTAACTGGAGCGAAAAAACCAGATCTCGCGAGTCCCAAACTCTTGCCACTCCGATCAGACACCGGCAACTTCAAAAACCCTAACGTCGACGACGCAGAGTCACCGAGGCCGAACTCCGGCGACGGACAGCAAATCAACTGTCGTTTTCCGGCCGAAATCATCGAGAGACGAAAATGATGCCAGAAGAAGTGAGACGTTCTCAATTGACAGTTACAGCTGGTTTTGTGTGTGCTTACATGGTGGTTGCTGCTTGAAACTCTGTTTTCGAGCGGAGTATATATGTATATATACTAGACGACTAGTGCGTGGCGCACGCCTGTGCAATTTAAATAAATTAATATAAAAATAAATAATAAAGTAATTAATATTATAATATTTATATTATTTAAATAATAAAAATATTTTTAACGAAATATAAAGTCTTCAATTTAAATTTTACTTAATTTTTAATAATATTTTTTTATTTTATGATATCAAATTTGTCACGTAACAAAAATTGAAATTATCACATTATTAAACACCAAATTATATACTCACATATATAATAATGTGTGTATATATCTATATATATATATATATATATATAACAAAAACAACTTTTTTATTACCTTGATGGGCTTTTGTCGGTTGTCAAAATATGAACAATTAAATAGAGAGAGACGAGAGGGAGAGGGAGAGGGAGAGGGAGGAGGGTGATTCGTAATTTGTGTGTCACGGTCAGTCAGGCTGCCATTACAAGTGTTTTGGGAATGGCTCTGTTTTTGGTTTTCTTTTCTTTCTTTTTTTTTTTACTTATTTTTGTTTTTAATAAATTTTGGATAAATTACATATACACTCTCGAGATTTAACAAAATTATAGATACCCCATGAAGTTTGAGAAATTACAGATATCTCCTAAAGGTACTATTTGCATAACAAATTAGGGAACAAATTGTTATGAAAATATAAACCTCAAGGGACAATTTGTTATGAAAATATAAACTCAGGGGGTATCTGTAATTTTCGAAACCTCAAGAGAGTATCTGTAAATTAACTAAACTTCGAGGGAGGTATATGTAATTTGCCCATAAATTTTTTTTTAAAATTTAAATTTTTAGATTCAATTTGACAAGAAGAATAGAAAAGTTATAATTTTTTTAAAAATATTCAAAAAAAATGAAAATAAACTAAAATAAATAAATTTTTTGATTTATTTTGATTTATAATATTTTTTTTGAAATTTTTCAAAAATATATTTTTTAGATTCCTCTCGGATCGAAAAAGTAAAATTTCTTAATATAATTTAAAAAAATTATTAAAGACAAAAATTCAAGAAAATAAGTAAAAAAAAATTCCCCCAAAATGGGCCGTATTTATGTATGGACAATTGTTTCACTAATATAGGCTGGTGGCTGATGGTGAAGGATGAGTTCTACACGCTGCTTCTAGAGCGTGGTTTTTTAACGATCACACATGCGTTTGGTGGTGCGTCTCCATCTTTAGAAATTACACAAATGCGTTTTAATGCTGCGTTTCGTTAAAAAATTTAGAAAATTTTAACGATCAAACATGCGTTTGGTGGTGCGTCTCCATCTTTGGAAATTACACAAATGGGTTTTAATGCTGCGTTTCGTTAAAAAATTTATAAAAAAATTTAAAAATAAAAAAAAAATATGTGTGAAATTAAATAAAATATAGATATATTTTATTTATATTTATCTTTTAATAAAACGTTAAGTGAAATATAAATATTATTTTAATTTGAGCAATGTTACTGTGAGGTGTCTAGCATTTTTCTTTTAATTTTGTCTTATCTTTTAAATAAAGTAGTTAATCTATCCTTAATGATTGAATTATAAAATAGTTAATCTATCCTCAATGATTGGGCTGTGTCACGTGTTAAAGATTAACCTATCTTCGGATATACTTATCCTTTTGGTGTGTTTGTGGGGCCAAAGTTTTTATTTTTTTTTGGGCAAATTATACTGACTCTTGAGAGTTGTTTTAATACAAGTAATACCTTCAATTTTTAGAAATTATCCTTTTTAAGGTTTAAAATTTTATTACAATTTAATTTTTTCGTTAATTACCCATTAAATTAACTAACAAAAAAATTAATTTTTTAAAATACTTATTTTACTCTTATTAAAAATATCTATTTTAAAAAAAATTTACTAGATGAGTAAAGAAAATCTATAAGGAATTAAAAAAATTCATTTAATATTAATACATATGTTATGATACCATTAAAATTTAGGTTATGTTATGGTACACAAGCTTTTGTGGTGTTAATTATCACAAATATTATAATTAGATCATTTTCAATCATAACTTAAAAAAAATAGTTATAATAAAACACTACATAAGGTATAACTAAATACCTTTTAAATCATAAACAAAATAATGTTATAATCAATAGTATATAACTAACACTATAATAGGTCATAAAACCAAAAACCATCACTGTGGCATATGAAATTTTCTCAAACGGTAAATGGTTTGTAAATTTTATATATGCCAATAAGGGTAAAATAGAAATTTTAAAAATTAATTTCTTTTATCAGTTTTTTTTATTAGTTGACCTAACGATTAACTAACGAAATGATTAAATTGTAATAGAAGTTTAAATCTTAGGGAGGGGTTGTAATTTTTAGAACGTGAGAGAATACTTGTATTAAAGACAAATCTTAAGGAGTGTCAATGTAATTTATCTTTTTAAAAAAAAAAATTTAAAAATAATTTTAAAAAAATTAAAAACATGAAAACTCAATGTGAGAAAAATAACTGAAGGGTAAAGTGAAATTTACTCAAATAAGGTCCAAAAGATTTTAAGATATGATTCTACCTATGCTCGTATTATAAATTGCAATATAGAAAATGTTAGAGGCCACTAAATTTTTATCAAATGTTTCACATGAATCTAAACTCTACACGCATGTGAGACTCATCTTCATGTGAGGTATTTAGTAAAATATTTGATAGAAATTTTGATATCACAAGCATTAGTCGTTGCAATGCTCTATGAGGTATTTGTTGGAAATGGTAGGAAAAATTCTGGGTAAAACCAGAATTTTTTCTCAAGTTTGGTCTATTTTTTAGGTGGGCCCCGAGTGTCGATTTACTCGGGTCAAAGTGGTAACGCGTTCTATGCCGCGTTGTGATTCACGTGGTATATTTGGTTGCTCAAAACCATTACCGAGTGAATGGGAAATTGAAGCCAAAGTGTGCTCCATGGAAATGGAGTTTTGGTGGAAATTCCTTAAGGTGGTAAATTGGCTTGTCCCACATTGATTTGGTAGGAAGTTTTGAAAGGGTTTATAAGGCTTAGGGTGAGATACTTGGGGTGTGCCCCAAGGGGTACCCAAGTGTTTTAGAGGGAGAGGTTATGGGCAAAATAGGGTAGACCCATTGGATCCAAAAATCACCACACGCGCGCGTCGCCGCCCGTCCGATCAGGCGGGTGTGTGGTTGGGCTTCTAATCTTTTTGGGCAAAAAACATTTGAATTTAATTTTATTTTTTATTAAAATAAAATCCAGAATTCAAATTAAACTGGTTTGGATTTATTGTTCATCCAAACAGGGCCCTTCCCGTTTTCAAACAGAATTAAACTGTTTTGGATTTATTGCAGAGCCAAACAGAGCCCTTCCCGTTTCTATCTGTTTGAATAAACAGATTCAAATCTGTTTAAATTTGAATCTAATAGGTTTCATACCTGTTCAATTCAAAACTAAAAGCCACATTTACATCTATAAATAGACTAGCCTCCCATTTGGATTTAATTCCAATTTTCGTACTCCATCATCTGCAAATTATATTCTTCATCTTGCTGCATATTATTTCCGAAAGAAAGAGTGTAAACACTTAGTGTGTTCGTAAGGCAAACAATTAGTAGTGCTGCTATTGTTTGTGGAAGATCATTTCATCCTGGGAGATAGACGTCCAAATTCTGAAAGCACCGTGGAAAGGACGAATCTGTCTTAATCCAAACCAATTTAATTTGAATTCCTTGTTTTTAATTTATTTTTATTTTTTATTAAAATAAAATCCAGAATTCAAATTAAACTGGTTTGGATTTATTGTTCATCCAAACAGGGCCCTTCCCGTTTTCAAACAGAATTAAACTATTTTGGATTTATTGCAGAGCCCTTCCCATTTTCAAACAGAATTAAACTGTTTTAGATTTATTGCTCATCCAAACAGAGCCCTTCACGTTTCTATCTGTTTGAATAAACAGATTCAAATCTGTTTAAATTTGAATCTAATAGGTTTCATACCTGTTCAATTCAAAACCAAAAGCCACCTTTACATCTATAAATAGACTAGCCTCCCATTTGGATTTAATTCCAATTTTCGTACTCCATCCTCTGCAAATTATATTCTTCATCTTGCTGCATTTTATTTCCGAAAGAAAGAGTATAAACACTTAGTGTGTTCGTAAGGCAAACAATTTGTAGTGCTGCTATTGTTTGTGGTAAGATCATTTCATCCTGGGAGATAGACGTCCAAATTCTGAAAGCACCGTGGAGAGGACGAATCTGTCTTAAGGACACAGTGTTAAACACTGGACTTGATCAGAAAAGTTATTCAAATAAATTAACCAAGTAAGTTGTTTAATTTTAATCTGTGGTTTTATTTATTTATTTTTTTATTTCGAGTTTGATTTTTGTAATCAAACAAATTCTCTCCTTTTCTCTTTTTCTTTTATTCTTGTTGTTGTTTTGTACACAACAGAATTTAATCTTTTTAAATACAGTGAAGATTGTTCAACAGTATTTGGGTTCAAAACTGTTCTCTCATTTTTTTAAAATATATTGTGTAAAATATTTTATACTATTAAAAATGATGTAAAATGATGTATCATGATGTTATTGGTCTAATTTTTTTTTTTTTATAATTTACCAAGAATATAGGACTTTTTAAATTAAACTTAATTTACTTACCATAAGTAAATGAATTAAGAAATGGGACTTTGGTCCTGACTTTAATTGAGAATCCCCTCAAATGGATGGTGGGATTGGCCCTCTGAATTAATCAGTCCAACAGGTCAAATTAATTTTCCTGGGTAGGATACTAATAGAAGAAAAAAAAAGAAGAAATTTTGCGTTAATTAGCTTTAAAAGTTTCTTTTAAATTAAATTGAAGCAGTTACCATATAAATTAATTAATTAACATTAGTTTTATTTCTAAAATCTTCCATTTTGAAGTTCTCTCCTTCAAATCTAAAATTTAGAAACAAAAAATAAATAAAATTTACTGAAAAAATAAAAAAATATCCAATGACAATATAGACTCTTTGTATTTAAGGAAATTTACCAATAACTCTAATCCCAAAAAAATATATACGGTAAGGTCACATGAATTTTGTAGGCTATTTGAATTTGAAAAAGTATATCATGAGATTTTTTTTCATTATATTTTTTGGAGATTCTAAATATGGGTATACTTTATTTTCACACTATTTTATATTAAATTTTTATCAAATGTGTTATTCTTAAAATGTGATAATGTCATATCATTCTATTGTATGCATTATTTGTGCACTATTGTCTAATTAAACTTTTGTCAAATATATCATTCTTGTCATTTTTAAAATGTAGCAATGTAACATTATTCTGATGTGTGTGTTATTATTTTATTAAACCTTTACCGAATGTATGATTCTTCTTAAAATTTAACAATGAGATATTCGTGCACTATTATTTTATTAAAATTTTGCCAAATGTATGATTCTTAATATATAATAATGGAACATATGTTGATTAGAGTTCAAACCTTTTCTCTTGGACCTCAGTCTTCTCACATTCCAACTCATTATTTTCATTTAGAATTCTCTCTACCTTTTACTTCCCTAGAACAACTATCACAATGAATCTCACAAACCAAATTTACTCAAGTGGGTAATGTTCAGGTGTGCAACGTATGCAACTCTTACCACAAAATTACTCAAGTTTTTACAAATTTACATATGTAATCTCACCAAAATGAGTAAATTGAATATAAATTTGCATAAGTTCACCTTTATTAATAGAATTACACGAATTTATATTCAGTTTACGTATTTTTGTGAAATCATTTATGTAAATTCATGAAAACTTATATAATTTTGTGGAATGGTTGCATACAATGTGTATGGCACACCGGGAGATTTTTCATTATTATTTGTGTGTTGAGTTGAGTAGGTGTTGAGAAATGTCTTAGTACAATTAAGTTTCAATTACTTACTCATAGCCCTTTTTTGTGATCAAGACCTAATGATTTGGTAAAGCAAAAAAGACCATACAAAATGAAGCAGAGAAACATCTTGAACCTTCTGGTAAGCATGATATGTCACTTCTGCCTAATCCAACACTCATATTTTCCTAACTTTAGCTTTCTCAAAAGCCTTCCCCTCCCAAACACACATTAATGTGTACTAATTGGGCGTTGCGTTGCAGCTTTCTCAAAAGCCACTTTCAACTTTGGAGTAGGTGTTGAGAAATGTCTTAGTACAATTAATCTTGTTGAGTTTCAATTGCTTACTCAAAGCCCTTTTTTGTGATCAAGACCTAATGATTTGGTAAAGCAAAAAAGACCATACAAAATGAAGCAGAGAAACATCTTGAACCTTCTGGTAAGCATGATATGTCACTTCTGCCTAATCCAAGACTCATATTTTCCTAACTTTAGCTTTCTCAAAAGCCACTTTCAACTTTGCACCATCAAGAATCTTGAAGCGGAACAAATATCAGTAAAACACTTGTTAACAAAAATCCTTAAACTAATTATGACCACAAAGTTTGCAATCACTACCTAGATGCCAATACAAAACTTGTGAACTAGCAACATAATCTTGAACTAGCAACATAATCTTGAAACAGATCTGATTGCATAACAGAAATGAACAGATTTAGTTCTAATCACAGATTTAATTCCAAACAGAAATCAACAGATTCAATTCCAAACAGTTGATATCTCAATGGATCAAGATGATGGCAGAAGAGCGAGTTTCACCAGTGATGAGTATTACAGCATCAATTGGGGGGGGGTGTTTAATAACAAGATGATTAGCTACTTTTACTCACCGATGTGAAATAAAGGCGTGTCCGCACATGTCGTTCTGGTGTTTTTACATTGGCGTACCTAATAGACACAAACCAGGAAATAGAGGTATAATTAATAAGACAAGTGTATTCCATAGAATGTGTATAAGAATTCCTTTCAGTTTCTTTATTTCATATAATATGTATCCCATATTCTAATTTCTAAAGAAAAATTAATCTATCAACTGTGTGTGTGTCTACTTGGGTATAATGAATCAAAAGGTTCAAATATTCACTTTGGATCCAAGCGGTATTTGGTTTCTTTCTCATCGTCATCATCCTGATCCATTGAGATATCACTGGTGAAACTCGCTCTTCTGCCATCTTCATTCTTACAGTTCTAATCACAGATTTAATTCGAAACAGAGAGAGACTGATGAGATGAGAGAGAGAGAGAGAGAGAGAGAGAAGCTTACCTATGAGATCGATCGGTGCAATGAGAGAGTGAGGTCGATCGGTGAGGAGTCGATCTTGCGAGTTTGATCGGTGTGGAGTCGATTTGTGCAGATGAAAATGAGAGTGAGAAAGAGACTGATGAGATGAGATGAGATGAAATGAGAGGAATGAGAGAGCTGCGTGCATATTAGGGTTTTTTTTGGGGATTTTTGGTTGAGGGGGGAAACAGCTCTCCTATACTTGTTTGTTTCTTTATCTTTAGGAAACTCTTGTTTTCCTCTTCTTTTACTGTGTTAATCAGTCTTGGCTCCATCTATATCAATCTTCATTTACAGCAAGATACAAAGAACATAGATGTCTGTGTAGAAGATGAAACGGTTACTTACTTGAACCGGGAAGATGTACAGAAAGCTTCCCATGCGTGGCTTGTTGGAGTCACTGCATGGAGTGTTTACAGCACATAATAATCCTCATCTTGTTGCAGAAAATGAAAAAAAGAAAGAAGAAAGAAAAAAATAATTGATTAGAGTTCAAACCCTTTCTCTTGGACCTCAGTCTTCTCACATTCCAACTCATTATTTTCATTTAGAATTCTCTCTACCTTTCACTTCCCTAGAACAACTATCACAATGAACCTCACAAACCAAATTTACTCAAGTGGGTAATGTTCAGGTGTGCAACGTATGCAACTCTTACCACAAAATTACTCAAGTTTTTACAAATTTACATAAGTAATCTCACCAAAATGAGTAAATTGAATATAAATTTGCATAAGTTCACCTTTATTAATAGAATTACACGAATTTATATTCAGTTTACGTATTTTTGTGAAATCATTTATGTAAATTCATGAAAACTTATATAATTTTGTGGAATGGTTGCATACAATGTGTATGGCACACCGGGAGATTTTTCATTATTATTTGTGTGTTGAGTTGAGTAGGTGTTGAGAAATGTCTTAGTACAATTAAGTTTCAATTACTTACTCGTAGCCCTTTTTTGTGATCAAGACCTAATGATTTGGTAAAGCAAAAAAGACCATACAAAATGAAGCAGAGAAACATCTTGAACCTTCTGGTAAGCTTGATATGTCACTTCTGCCTAATCCAAGACTCATATTTTCCTAACTTTAGCTTTCTCAAAAGCCACTTTCAACTTTGCACCATCAAGAATCTTGAAGTGGAACAAATATCAGTAAAACACTTGTTAACAAAAATCCTTAAACTAATTATGACCACAAAGTTTGCAATCACTACCTAGATGCCAATACAAAACTTGTGAACTAGCAACATAATCTTGAACTAGCAACATAATCTTGAAACAGATCTGATTGCATAACAGAAATGAACAGATTTAGTTCTAATCACAGATTTAATTCCAAACAGAAATCAACAGATTCAATTCCAAACAGTTGATATCTCAATGGATCAGGATGATGGCAGAAGAGCGAGTTTCACCACTGATGAGTATTACAGCATCAATTGGGGGGGTTGGGGGGTGTTTAATGACAAGATGATTAGCTACTTTTACTCACCGATGTGAAATAAAGGCGTGTCCGCACATGTCGTTCTGGTGTTTTTACATTGGCGTACCTAACAGACACAAACCAAGAAATAGAGGTATAATTAATAAGACAAGTGTATTCCATAGAATGTGTATAAGAATTCCTTTCAGTTTCTTTATTTCATATAATATGTATCCTATATTCTAATTTCTAAAGAAAAATTAATCTATCAACTGTGTGTGTGTCTACTTGGGTATAATGAATCAAAAGGTTCAAATATTCACTTTGGATCCAAGCGGTATTTGGTTTCTTTCTCATCGTCATCATCCTGATCCATTGAGATATCACTGGTGAAACTCGCTCTTCTGCCATCTTCATTCTTACAGTTCTAATCACAGATTTAATTCGAAACAGAGAGAGACTGATGAGATGAGAGAGAGAGAGAGAGAGAGAGAGAAGCTTACCTATGAGATCGATCGGTGCAATGAGAGAGTGAGGTCGATCGGTGAGGAGTCGATCTTGCGAGTTTAATCGGTGTGGAGTCGATTTGTTTTTTGAGACGGTATTTTTTACCGTCGCAAAAAGTCACTTTTTGCGACGGCAAGTGTACCGTCGCAAATAGTTCAGTCTTTTAAGCCCCATTTTCTTGTAGTGTGTGCACTATTATTTATTAAACTTTTGCCAAATGTGTTGTTCTTAGAATGTGATAATGAGATATCATTCTACTATGTGCGTTATTGTCTTATTACGTTTTCAAATATAGGTTTGCTGCATTTGTAAGATTTTAATGTAAGACAAGTCTTATGGATTTATAATAATATTTATGAGACTAAATGGTCTATGGATATAGAATTTAGGGTCTAGCTTGTCTCCAGTTTGAGATCAAGACTGGACCCTCCAGTTCGCTCCATGGGCCCACGTTTGAGCCCCGTTTCGACGATCCAAACCGTTCATATTTTAGAATTTGACGAGTACAATATCCCTGTAAAAATCAAGTCAATCAGATAATGGCAACTATGTGTTTGAATTAGTTTTATATGAATCATTTATTTTTTCACTGTCTATTTTTTTTATACAAAACTAATTTGAACACGTAATTGCCGTTATCCGATCAATTTATATTATTGAAACGGAACCAAAAAATAAGCTCACTGAGGGGACTAGAGGGTCCAGTCTTGATCTCCAAGTGGAGACAAGTTGAACTCTAAAATATTTGTTACTAAATGTCCTTTTATTTTTATTTTTATTTTTTTGCTGGGGCTCCTTTTATTTATTTATTGTGAATATAATGGCACAATGATTTAAATGCGTGAGAGGAATCCAAATTTAGATAAGTAAAAGCTCAAGAAAATTAAAATAAATAATAAAAATTGGGCAACACGTATTGTTATTATTATTATTGTTATCATTATGTATTTAAGTTTGTTGTTGGATCATAAATTTAGATAGAAATTTATTTATATTTATATATATATATATATATATAAAGAGTATAAAATGTGTGAATAAAATATAAATTAAATTTATTTATTTATTTTATCTCTTTTTTTAATTTTTAATTTAAATTTATAATCTAAATACTGTGTGAATGTAAAAGTGTTTTATTTGTTTAACCAAAACTCTTAAAAGCAAATCCAATGAAAAATGACCTCTCTTGTGATAAATTTTTAATTCAAGTTTTGCATGAGACAATTACAAATATGGAATAGTGGGCATATGGGTGTTTTGGGAATGGCCTTTTTTTTGCTCCTTTTTTTTTAAAACTTTTTTTAATGATTTTATAAAAAAATTAAAAACTTTAAGTTTCTAAATTCAGCTCGACAAGATGAATTAGAAAATGATAATTTTATTAAAAAAATCTAAAAAAAATTAGAAATGACAAAAAAAAAATCAAAATAAGCAATAATTTTCAACTTGTATTCGTCTTTTGTGATTTTTTTATCAATTTTTTTTTAAAAAAATATATACTTATTAGATTCATCTAGTTAAGGGAGACCGGAAAAGTAAAAAAAATTGATATAATTTTTAAAAAATTTACTAAAAACAAAAATTCATAAATTCCCCCCCCCCAAATGGGCCATAGCTGTCAGACTTGTGCATAATTTTAAAGGCCACGAGGAACATGAGTGAACAATTAATCAACTTGTCCGGTTTGGTTTGAATTTTTAGGATTTATTTTTTAAAAAGATTATTATTATTTTTTTTTTGCTAAATTTTTTAAATATTTGAAGTAATTTTTAATTTTAGATATACTTAATATAAATACACTTAAAAAGTATTATATTTATAAAAAAAATCTTTAGAAAATTCACTAAATATAAATATATAAAAAAAATTATGTAGAATTATAGGACAATTTTTCATATTCTTATGTATTTATTAATTTTTTAAAATATTTTACTCTTTAGATATATCTAAGTAAGATGTATATAAAAAAATAAAAAAATTACTTAAAATTTTAAAAATATTCACTGAAAGTAAGAAAATATGAAAAAATAAAAAATTTAATTTTTAAAAAATTAATTTCAAAAAATTAAAATCAAATACATTGAATAAGATTTCAAAAATAAAGATTTCACATTTAAAGAATCCTAAAATCACGATTTCATTATGTTAAAGCATTCAATATTTTAATATTTTATATTAAGAATCATAAAATCAAGATTTGACCATATTAAGGGGGAATTTTAAAAATATGATTAAAAATTAATCTTTTAACTTTTTTTACGATTTTATGTAAAAAATAATATAACTCAAAATAGATTAAAAACACGCTTTCAACTTTTTAATCCAAGTTTCCGAATGGCCCCACGAGAATCCGATGTTTTATATCGGAAATGAGCCGTAGCTCAAATTGGTTGGCTCGAATTGGCTAGAAAGAGGGAGAGAAGAGAGGAGAAAGAGACAGAGGAGAAAGAGGGAGAGAAGAGAGGAAGAAGAGAGGAGAAGAGAAAGAGGAGAAGAGCCAGCACCACCGCCGCCGCCGAGGATCGTCGCTGCTCGTCGCCGGCCGTCGCCCCGCCTCCGCCCGCCGCCTCCAGCCCCATTTGTTGGGCACCCTCCAGTCTCTCCTCCTCCTCCCCCTCCCCCTCCAGTCCCTCCTCCTCCTCCTCCTCCTCCTCCTCCTTTCTTCTCTTCTCCTTCTCTGCTTCTGATTCGATCCAATTTCGAGCTCCACCTTTCGAGCTACGTAGCACTACTGGTTTTATATTTATGTTTTGTACTTGGCGCGTGAATTTAATGCAGAAGAGGTCAATCAAGGGTTGCACCATGCATCCAACCAAAGCACTGGGACCGGATGGTAAAATTCGCGCCGAAAATGCTATATAAATAAAAAAAAAATTATAAATTTTTTTTATAAATTGATATAACATAGAGTGATACAACTTTAGAATGTGAAATAAGGCCCAACTTATTAATATTTTAGGTGACACATTAGTTTGTAAAGAAAATTTGTTTGAAAAATTTCTTCGTATAGCACTACTCAATTCGCTCGCAAGATGTCAGAGTATCGACCCACCAGTTTATGGGGTTGATTGGAGTGATTAAATAAATATATTTTTTAAATTTTTATAAAAGATATGTAAAAAAATAAAGAGATGATATATAACTTAAAAAAGATAAAAAAAATATACTTATATAGTGTATCTCAAATAGTGCCTATACATTGTGATTTATAAGTTGACGAGTAAGGTGCTGACTAATCAACTCAAGAAGGTATTGCCATCCGTAAAACTACAAATGAATAGAGTTCGTGAATAAATTTCAGTTCGACTTTGTACGGGGGCGAAATATCCTCTACTTTCCGTACTCCTTGGACATCAAGCTTCTCGTGACGGCGTCTATCTCTGCAACACAAAAATGGTGAGCTGCCCGGCGATGGTGTGCCGGATAGACCCTCCGACGATCAAGTCAAACCACTGGAGGAAGAAGAAGGCTATCAGAGAGAGAGAGAGTGTTAGTGATAGAGTGAATTTTGCATACCTCTAACGTTCCTCTTTCCTTCTATTTCTAGGCTGGCCATGCAGCCTCAAGATTGTGCGCGCACTACCTCTGTTATCCTTCCCTGGACAGGTGACAGTGCTCGCCTCTCGCCACCTTACGCGTGTAAAGGCTTAGTCCTCCCACCAGTACACGCAGAACTGTCCAACGGTATTGATGCGTGCGTGGAGCAGATGTCCTCTCCCTCACGCCATTGGCCCAAGTGGCACACCTAACCGGAGTACCACGACCGGCCTATCCCTTGTGGAGAACTGTCACCACATGCACGCAACCGAGCTATGTGTCGCCGGCCTGCCCCTTTGGCAAAGGGGCCAAGGGGTGATGTTCATGACCGGGCTGATATTGACCGGTTTATTGTGGCTTACCAGTTCCGAGGCATGCCAGCCTCCATCCGTTCTACCTTCATCCGAGGTTATCTGGAATTTATCCATCTCGGCTAACCGTTCAAAGGCATGCCGGCCTTCGCCTCGTCCTCGGTTTAGCCCAAGATACCCGTAGCCCGGTCTCGCCACTCGACAGCGTGCCCTGCCAAATGTCTACAAGTCACAGCTCGGCCGGGCGTAGTTCACGCCTGGTCTGCCGATCTCCTTGACCGAGCAAAACAGATCCACCGGCCGTCTCAGTAGAGGAAATAGCGCGGCGCCGTGAAGTTTGTCACGACCGGCACTATCGTAGCTCGGCCGTACTAACAATGCAAATCTCCCCTCTCAATTGCCCCTTAATCCCATCCGAGCTAATCGTGATTGGGGTTACCCCAGTGACCGAGCTAACGGTCCGTGATTTGCACTATTTCTGAGCTGAGCATGACGGCATCACTTCCAAGCCGAGCATGATTGCATCATTTCCAAACCGAGCAAGCCGAGCATGATTGAATCATTTCCGAACCGAGCATGGTTGCATCATTTGTGAACCGAGCATGATTGGGGTCAAATGGCGTTGCCGAGCAATCCCATTTGATCGGTAATTACTTCAGCAGTCTTATCAATGGTCGTACAGCCGTACTGACAGCCGCGTTCTCAGTGCCACGTGGCCTCACGCCATTGGACCGTACGACCAGCTGTCTTGCACGCATTGGAATTCAAACGGCGCAGCCGTTTTGGCCTTTTTCCCCCCTCTTTATGCACAACCCAAGAGCCATTCGAACTCTTCACTGTCCTTCTTCTTGAGCCGAAAGCCCTAGCTCCCAGAATCCTCTAACCTCTTCTGCCATTATTGTCTTTGTGCTTCACCCTCCGTTTCAGTTCCTTCTGCAGGCTACAATCAGGCTCTCGAGGTTGCATCCACGCTCGCATCTGCCACTGGTAAGTTCCATTACCCTTCCTCGCATTTTCTATTTTCATTTCTCAAATTTGTTGTACCTGTTCTTCATTTTCGTGCCACTGTGCTCCGTGTCCTCTGCTTGGGACCTTTAAGGCTCTTCCTTTTTAGTCCC